GAACCTGAAAAATGATGCATATTTAGTATTATCATATGACCTGTGTGGCCCCACATAGGCAAGCCCATAGAATACCATTACGAAAGCTGAGGTGTGTAGGGCTGGATGGGATGACTTGAGCCAGTCAGGAAAAAGCTCTCCAGCCCTCAGCACTCACACACCCTTGTCACAAAAGTGTCTTGGAAAAAAAAAGAAAAGAGTAAAAAGTTTAGTTTTTCAATGAATTGAGTGTTTTTGTTGTTCTGACTTTAGAAAAAACAAACAAAATTTTCTTACAGTAGAATCTTTTTGGTGGTTGTCCTGTGAGTGCTTGTCTATTGCATACTATCTAGGTTGAAACCAAGTTCTCAAAAGTTTCAACATGTGATCACATGATAAAATACTTATTGACTGAGTTTAGTTGGTTGCTGCACTCAGACCATGCATCATGACCTTGAGCCAAATATTTTCCCGTCTAGCCCTCCCACTCAGTCAATAAGTATGTATAACTCACCACCTAATTATGGGGCGAGGTCTTTTTGAGTCTGAATGTTGCAAATGCCTCCAGTTACAATATTATTTTAGATCCCCAAATAAGCCACACTGCTGTACAATTTTTCAATGAAAAGTGGTTCATCTGATTGCATTCAAATGTTCAAATATGTCAGTTAACCTTTCTCAACTATGTTGAGTGGAAGTCTCTAACATGTGTACTTCGTAATTATACACTAGTTATGGCTTGAAAAATGGTAAGTAATTTTGATTTTCAACATTTCTCTATACTTAGCTTCCAGGAACAGAAATATTGGTATTGCAGTGGCATTCTCTGTCTTGGGTGTCGTGGCAGGAGCTGCAGCAATGTGGTTTTACATGAAAAGAAAGTCTGGGAAGCCTAAGGCTGAAAGTATGTTAAGTGTAATAAAGTTAGCTTGGAGAGATACACAGTTGAATCACGTTTGATCGCCCATGATTTATTTGTGTTGGATGTGAGCCTAAAACATTAGTTCTAGTCAGCCTATCAAGTCACAGCATATCGGCAAACTTCTTGGAAAATATTGGAAGCAATTTTTTGTTGTTGGTGTAGTTCTTGTTGGATATGCAGTGGCTGAATGTTCAGTGCACTGGACTCTGGGTTGAGAGGTTGGGGTTCAAGACTTGGTTGGGTCAATGTGTTGTGTTGTTGGGGAAGGTACTAATAGGACAGTGTACATGTCATGCTTGTAATTGGACAGTTAAAAAGACAGTTAACACATCATGCCTGTGTAAGTGGACAAAACGCATCATGTGCACACAGTTGTCTTGCATTTTACAGAGTTCATTGTATTTTTTTTTTAATGAAAATGTATGACTGATGTCAATTTTTTTCTCTCAAATGTTGTTATAGTTTTGATTAATTGGTAACAGGACTTTTGTGTCATCCAATTCTGTCTGTAGTCATACTCGTGATTAACAAATCAGACTCCCGCTTTGTAGTTGTCCAGTTTTGTTTATCACTTGACTGTATGATAACAGACTGAATTGGATTCCACTCAGTCCTACTACCACTTTTTTTGGGTTACTGGCAAATTGTAAGGGAAGCCTGATGAAATACTGGGGGGGGGTAACCTTGCAATGAACTAGCATCCCATCCAGGGGTTGGGGGGAGGGGGGGGTAAGAATACTCCTGGTTGTCTTATACTACAGAAACTGGGATAAGCTTGGGATGGGTGGACCAGTAGGCCTGAGCACCAACTATACCTCTACCTAGTTGTTTTAGTATGTATTTTCTGTTGTTTTTTTACTTTCTTCATCAGGAGCATTGATGATGAAGGCAATCTTAATGATATTGATTGAGATGATAGTCACAGTTGATGAAAATGATTTCTAATGATTTTGACATCTGTTGATGATGGCTAAAATGATAATGATTAGGTTAACCCTTAACTCTCAGAAGTGATTAACATGAAACTTCTCTCTATAATATCTTCACATTATCCAGCAAACAGGTGATAAGAATACTCAAACTTACCAGGGAGAAGTTGTTATCTTGATCTATCACCAAATTCTTGTAACTAATTTACAGTGAAATATGTAGCAGCTAGAGGAGAGAATTATCATCAAGATCTTGGGAGTTAAAGGGTTAGAACATAACTAACCAATAATATTTCTCAATTTTTTGTAGGGTTTGGATTTGATAATGTAGAGGATGTGAACTATGCTGGTGGAGAAATGATGTACACTAATCCAGCCTACAGCACAGCTGGAGATTAGGACCCTGATGCATTCGAAAAAATAAAACTCTGAGGAATGATAAGATCTAATTTTGAGCACTGGTGTGCCTCTTAATTATTTTTTTTTTATGCATTTAACTCGTTGACGAAGAAGTAAGAAGACTGTTATTTGCATAGTCTTTATTTTTATGAAAGCCTGACAAAAAGGTTATATTTTGCTTTACCCATTTGCTCTGGATAATTTACTTAAACAAGTTTTGTAGGCAGAATTTTTGTCAGTGCAAACTTGTATAATGGAGCCCTCCTAAGTTTAATTAATGGGAACATTTTTTAACTTGTCATGCAGTATTACTGAAAGTTTAAATCTGTTTTTCGTTCAATGTTAATGTTATCAACACCTTGCACAAGAGACATGTTGTGCAACAATTTTCATTGTGTAACTTCCCCATATTCTGGGTGATTTTATTTGTTGAAGCCTAGAAAGTGCTGTTGAACCCTGCTTATTCAAACTCTGAAGAGAAAAAAATGTTTCAAGTGAGCAGGGGTTTCAAGTTATATGATAGTAAATGACTAGAAAAATTGGGGCCAAGGGAATTTGGATCTTGTTTGAGTTTGAGGGGGGGGGGGGGGGGTTTGAGTCAACTGAATTTCAGTTAGCTGGGTTCTACTGTACTACTAAGCATCATGTTATTCAGGAACAACATGACTTCTGATAACGTTAACCTAATCTTTTAAGTTAGCATGTCAAAAGTGAAGAAAATAAGGTTTTTCTTGAATACTAGAGACCCTGAGATTCTGAATGATAAGATCTAATTTTGAGCACTGTTGTGCCTATTAATTAGTTTTTTTTTTAATGCATTTAACTCATTGACTAAGAAGTAAGAAGACTGTTATTTGATCTTAAGATTCTGAACAGTGAGTGATGTGCTGAAATAAGTGGTAACCATGCTATTAGTGAAGTGACAGTGAACTTAAACAATCTCTGTCACAAATAGTGCATCTTGAAATATTTAGGGAAAAAAGTTTCAATGGCTTCAAGAGGGCTTGACATATTTTGATATTGCTCCTTTCAAGAAGATCCAAGAGTACATATTTTGTGATTTCAATCAATTATTAATTAAAGTAATTTTTGTACTAGACAAGTATAGTTTTACAAAACCATCGCCACATTTTCTTTGCAAGTTAAACTTAATTACTAGGACACGACAAGTTTTTGTTGTACTTGGAAACAAATTTCCACCAACCATTTTACAGGTAATGCATAAAATGTCAAGTTAACTTATTTTATTTTTGCAGAATTTCATACAAATGTAGCAGTAAACCTTACCTCAAGTACCTTTGGGTTGAGTAATGTTTAAACTATTTATTATCTTGATAAAGGAACAAGATTCGTCCTTAATTCAAGAGAATACTGTGCATTTGTAAGAGATATCATTGAATTAGTTCTAATAAACAAGGATGCAGTGAATGCAAGATGGTGATCACTGGATGATCACCACTGATGCTGACTTTCAGAGTTTGAAGTGAACTATACATACATAGCATGTATTATAATGACGCAACTCTGAGTGGCATTCAAATAAACAGACATTACCAGAAAACTCAGGAAGCAAACTGGTTGTAAATTTTCTTTGCATCCAACATGACAATGACTATCTCCAAAAAATTGTTAATAATGATAATAAATACAATAAAAATATTGCAATCTTTATACTTTTGAGAACTGAAATTTGATTTAGTTTATTAACCCTTTAACTCCCAAGATCTCATTAGTAATTCTATTTGCTGTCTGCCAAATGATTCTCTTTGTGTTATTTTGGAGAATTTGGCATCAGATCAATTAGAAATCCCATAATTGATATTTTTCCTTATTCTCATCACATGTTTGCATGATATTGTATAGATATAGTAAGGAGAAATTCCATCTTGGTCACTCATGGGAGTCAAAGGGTTAAGTCTGTTTATCTGATCAGGAATTCTTCCCTCTCCATGAGGGACCAAAACAAAATGTCTCCTTCCAATTTCAATCTCAATTTCAATCTCTGAACTTACATAAGAATTGTTTGACAGACAGTAATGAGAATTACCAATGAAATCTTGGGAGCAAAGAAAATCAGATTGCAACAGCTATTTCAAAATTTTGGAATGTAACAAAAAAGCATCAATCTCTCTCCAAAATTGTTTTTTTGGACATCGAAAAATCTTTAGCCACATATTCCCTTCCAACAACTTGCAATGTTTTCCCTGTGGCAATCCCAGGAATCTTTGCACAAATGCAAGGATCATGGTCTCAAAGAGATTCAATTCCAAACAATGGCTGTGATGGTAACCAGGGGGGTTCTTCTCTGGAACAGGACTTTTTGGCACTTTTCCCATGAGATTTGAGGCAAAGTAAGACTGGGGTTTATTGGTAACTCCAGTTTTCCCTCCAGATGGAATGCAAAACAAACCTTTAAGATCCTTCATGTAAGAGGCTATACCACATTCAAGACTTTTTAAATTGTGCTTCGAGATGAAAGAGTGCAGTCAAATACAAGCTCACTCTTAGATAGAGTACCAGTCATTTTGATCAGAACAGAGATCAAGCCTTGGTTGTACTAGGGACAAATATGGCTATGCATTGGGAAAAATCTCTATCCAGTGAAAAATGCACTAACCTTTTGTTCTAAAACCAGTGGCTGTTGAAACAATTCAAAAGACAATAAAACAAATTTCTGTGCAAAATAGGTTAAATTGGGCCTTGTTAGACACTTCACAAGAAGCTGCTATGCACTTGAACACGATACTATATCTTCCTAATAGTAACAGTTGTTTGTTAGATAGTAAAAGTCTTTTTTATTGCTTAATCATTTCTGTCACTTAGATACAATAGTCAAATAAATTGAATCACTAGACGAAAAGGGCATGTGAGTTCACCATGATCTTTATCAGTCAATAATAATGAAACAGCAGCCAACATCCAAGCTGTTAACGTAAGCCTCTTGAATCTTGAAATAATGTTACTGCAATTCACATATCGACACTGCCATATTCCAGGCTTCTATCTCAGGAAAAGGCTAACCTACAGAATACTGGGCCACTTCTTCACAAGTGGTCCTGTATGTGTAGTTGCTCCCAAGAAAGTTTGACAAGTGACTGAAACTTTACCTAAAGGATGACTAAAGGACTAGCAGCCTGTGGTGTCATTACCTACAGCCCTCACATAGAGAGTTTCAGCTTCTTTGCACTTGCTATTCACATTGTTTGTTTACAGAAATCACTAAGAAGAGTATAGCTCGTTTAGCACTTTATTTATCACAATTCATACACACCAACTCCTTGATGCATGCGTATAAAGACATTTGCAGAAAAAAATCCAGGTGATGGTGGCTGTAGGTGTTTTTAACAGTTGCCAACTCGTAAGAGAAACGTTCAAACTGACATCAGAGTTCCTTTTTACAAAATATGATACAAGAATGAATCATACTTTACTTTCCAGCTGCCATTGGATTCCTCAACACTAAGATAACAGAATCTCCTCGAAGAAACATTTTGGCAATGTATCTGTCCTTATTAACTGGTTTTGCCTTTTTCCCTTTTCCTGATTTGGGTGTTTCAGTCCACATTTCTTTCACGTTTTCTAAGACCATGTTACAGTGCCTATCGAAAGCTTTCACTCTAGCTAGCAGCTTCTTGTTGTTTCGACAGTTGATCAGGACTTGAGTGTTATTCTTCACAGATTGCGTTAAGACGGAAAGAGGACCAGTATTAAACTCTTCTTGCTCCCTCTGAGCAAGTTCCTCAGGTGTCATTTCACTCTTGGGCTTGTTCATTCTGGGGAGAAGAAAAACAGCAAATTTAGAAAGTGAGATCGAATAAACTTGACTGGACGCTGTCGTGTAACATCCACCAATTTGACAATGAAAATTGCATAATCGATTCACCAAATTCCAATGAAAAACGAACATGAAAATTAAGTGGTCACAAGTAATCAAAAATGAGGTAGTACTTACAAGGATGCCATATTATTATCCGGATAATTTTAGATTGTTAAACGGCACCGTAAGGAGTTTTTTTGAAAGGATAAGACGTTCCGAAGCGTTTCGTCTCAAAATACTGCTGGCACGTATTCTTATGGACGTATGCGCAGAAGGATTTTACTTAGTAACCACTTGTTTCCCATGCGGTCGTTATCTTTAGTTTAAATAATCGGGTGAAGAGGCTAAAATTGTTGATTACTGTGAAACTATTTCAAAATGTCTCTTGCTGATGAACTTTTAGCAGATTTGGAAGAGGCTGCGGAGGAGGGTGACGTGGATTTCAGAGACAACGAAGATGGCATCGAAGAAGCAATGGAAATTTCAGGCTCGATAGACACAGATTCAAAGTCTGTTAAAAGTGTTGCGAAACTAAAAGACAGTAAACAGCTCAATGACGTTCTGTCTGGAATCGAAGAATTCGGGAATCAAACCCGCGATCGAGTGTTCGGTCCCGTAGAAGTAGACCCTGAGTATCAGCTGATTGTAGAGGCTAACAATCTTACCGCTGAAATTGATAACGAGGTTAATATTATTCACAAATACGTACGGGATCTTTACGCGAAACGTTTTCCAGAGCTGGAATCGCTCGTTCCCAATGCGTTAGATTATATTCGTACTGTTGAACTGCTAGGGAACGATCTCGAAGCATCAAAAGTCGATTTGACAGATATTCTCCCACCAGCTACCAAAATGGTGGTTAGTGTTACAGCTTCAACGACACAGGGAGAAAAACTTGAAGAAGAAGAGATCGAGCGGCTCATGGAAGCTTGTCAAACTGTTACAGATTTACTGGATGCTAAGTTTAAGATCTTCCAGTATGTTGAATCCAGAATGACTTTCATAGCGCCCAATCTATCAGTTATAGTTGGGGCATCAACTGCAGCTAAACTCATGGGTTCTGCTGGTGGGTTAACGAGTCTGTCAAAAATGCCAGCGTGTAATGTTCTTTTGCTAGGATCCCAGAAGAAGACACTGTCTGGGTTTTCTAGTGCAGCAATCTTGCCGCATACTGGCCACATTTACTTCAGTGAGTTTATCCAGGTGTGTGGAACATTTTTTAAACTCTACAACTCCTCCAATGAGTGATCAAGTCAGAATTTCTCCTTACAATATCAATACAATATCAAGCAGAAAAGTGATGAGAATAAAGAAAAATATCAAAAGGGAAGTATTTGTTGATCTAATTCCAAATTATCAAATGGTAAATTTGTATGGCAGATGGTAAGGAGCATAATTACTAATTTGATCATGGGAGAAAAATAGTCAAGCAAAGAATTGAAGGGTGTTGAGAGATAAAATTTTGAGAAAAAGTGTTGTTGACTTATCAGAATTATTTTTTCACTAAGTATTGTGAAATGTAAGCAGATTTTAATAACATTATGCACATACTCAATATTAGTGAAAGCTCTTGAAAGTTGACTGTTGAATGAGAGAGAGAGAGAGACAATCATGGTCTTGTTCCATGAGACTAAATATGTAGGCACCCCTCAACATACTTTTTCTTTGTTTTTGAACTTGCCTACATTTAGGACATGCCTGCTGATTTGAGAAAGAAAGCTGCTAGAGTGGTTGCATCAAAGTGTTCTCTTGCTGCAAGGGTAGACGGCTTCCATGAGAGCACAGATGGATCTGTTGGACAACAGCTCAGGGAGAATGTTGAGGGGAAATTTGACAAGTGGTTGGAACCACCACCTCTTAAAGAAACCAAAGCTCTTCCAAGACCAGATGACGCACCTCGTAAGAAGAGAGGTGGTCGAAGAGTGCGGAAAATGAAGGAAAAGTTTGCTATTACAGAGATGAGGAGGCAGGCTAACAGATTAGAATTTGGCCAGATTGGTGAAGATGTCTACCAGACTGATCTGGGATTCTCTGTTGGGACCATGGGCAGGAAAGAGAACACTGGCCGTGTGCGAACACCTGCTGTTGATAAGAAGACACAAATATCCATCTCTAAACGTCTACAGGTAGGCAATGTACACTTTGGAGCAGCATTTTTGATTTGGAAACATGCTGACCTATTGTCTTAAAGGCCCATTTCCAACCTTGATGCAACGCGCGCCTTCATCTAATTTCCTGTAACGCGAAATTCCTAGATCACTGAAAACCTTCTAAAATCGTCTTTCTTAAGAGCCATCCTGGGCGTATAGTCAACTGTTTTACGGTAAATATATTCGCCGTTCGTCATTTTACAGTTTCCTTACAGTATTTTGAATTTTGTCCGGAAGAATCTGAAGAAAATCACGCTTGGATTTCTTCGTATTCTGTGAACAGAGTCGGCGAAAAGGACGATGTTCGAATTTTTTTCACTTTCTAGAAGCGCTTGAGGATTCTAAATAAATATAAAATATTTCCAATAGAAATTGATATTTTCTAAAGAGAAATATAGAGAAATATCAGACTGCCGCACGTTTAGTTATTCGAAGACCGCGTCCGGTAGTGTCCGGTGAAAATTTTCTTAGTGTCACCCTTGGATCTCTTCGCAGTTTGTGTACAAGGTCAGCGAAACGGATAACGTTGGCATTTTTTCACTTTCTAGAAGTGCTTGAGGATTGTAATTGAAGGTAGAATATTTTCCAACGAAAAATTGGTATATTTGAACGAGAAATATGGAGTTATTTGAGGACCGTGTCCAGCCGTGTCATTGAAAAGTTTTAAAGTGTCAAGCGCTTGAATGGCTTCATACTATGTATACAGGGTTAGCGAAAAACATCAAGTTCGAAAATTTAGGCTGCCTGGAAGCGCTTGAGGATTGTAAGTAAAGGTAGAACATTTTCGTATAAATATTTTTTGGATTTCGAAGAGAAATATGGAAAAATGTCGGACTGCCGGACGTTAAATTATTTTAAGTTTAGTCATTTATTGCAGGAACGTCAGCGACACTGACAGTTTGCGTTACAATTCTTATTTGCTACTTTGCATGGACTACAACCTCGACCACTCTTTCGAGCGCAAGATCTTCTCTATGGGCAGGAAACTTCAACTGAC